GACTTCTTCTCCATGGACTTGAAAAGAGGCTTGAGATAAATTTTATAGACCCATATCTTTAAAAAAAAAAACATGTTCCTCTTAGGAATTCCAAGTATGTTATAGAGAGCATTTTATACTCATTTATGCTATGAAATAAAAGAGATATACCATTTTAAATTAATATTATTCCAGACAGATTTCCTTGTAAATTATTGGTCTTGTCCTCCAGTAATTGCTACTGTCATTCTCCATTTCCTACAAGATGACGACCACACACAGAAGACACTTCCAACTGTGGCCTCTGCCAACATGTCTACCATCCTTCAATGCCGTCAGATCCAACTGGCACTCCCAACTGTCTGATGCGCCTTGCTACTCCATACCTCCCTGCTTTGGTACGTCCATCCATCTCCTGAAAACTTCCTCCTCATTCTTCACGGGCTACTGTGAACGTCACCTCCCCAGTGAAGCCTCTGCAAACCCCCTAATGCAGTGGTGCTCAAGCGTTAGTGGCACCAGAATGTCCTGAAGGGCTTCTTGAAACACGGGTCCCCACCCTCAGAGTCTGTTCCAGGAGGTCTGCTGGAGCCAAGAATCTGCATTTCCAACAAGTCCCAGGGGCTGCTGCTGCCCTGAGAGCACACCTGCCCAACGGAGTGGATGTGTACCGTGTGTACCTCATAGCCTCTGCCCCCTCACCCACACTGCACGTGCCCTTGTACACATGCCCACGAAGACTGGGAGCTGCTCAAGGATAGGGAACAAGGCAGCACTGAGTGCATGGCTACTAAACCAATGGATGGATGGATGGATGGATGGACAGATGAATGGATTAGATTAGACTGAATGTATTCACATAGCTTTTCCATCCAGGTTTAGGATCTCAAAAACACCCAACCCCAACTACCTTAAAAACATCATCTGTAACAGATTCCCATTGCACAGAGAAGGTAAAAAGAAATTCAAGAAGAGTTTCAACCTTGTAAGCCTGTGTCAAAGGAGTTTGGAGTTCTAACCTAGCGCTCTTTCTGCTACTGTGGCCCCACTGGGGCTGTTTACCCAAGTGGCATTAAAAGAGTCATAGCAGGATGCTTCTGAGAGACACCTCTCGGAGTCCTACCCGCCCAAGCACTCCCTCTCTTACACACACACACACACACACACACACACACACACACACACACGGATTTCATTTATAGAAAGGAGATGAAGGCGGTAAGAGAAATGGAGGGAGAACGAAGAATCCAGCCTTCCACAGGGAGAGAAGGGCAGCAGCTCAGGTGGGGAAGACCTCATCAGAAAAGCACTGCCTCCCCAGGGGAGTGTGGGAGCTCCTAGCAGCCCTGGGGTGCCCATAGTGGAGGCAGACAGGCAAGGGCCCAGAGGAAAGGGGAGAAGCCTGCAAGGGGATGAGAAACATGTGCCAGAGTGGGGTGGGGGAGGATGAGAGACTAGGAGAGGAACAAAGGACAGAGAGCATCAGCTGGGAGGGGGCAGGAGGACGGGAGGAATGGCAGTCAATGCTGAGCTGGCAGCACAGGGCAGCTTGGCTGGGGGAAGGTCAATGCCAGCTCCACTCTGCCCTTTCAGCAGCAGCAGGCGCAGGGATGAGCAATGGGCTCCGCTGGAGACACAGTTGCGGGGGGGGGGTGGGGGGGGTGGGGGGGGGAGATGCAGCAAGGGACAGCAGGAGGACCAAAGTCAAAAGGCCTCTCTGCTGCAGGTGGTGCAAGCCAGCTGCCCGGGGCCCTAGAATCGCCTGCGTCTGTAGGGCTGTCTCTCCGAGAGGCCTGTGCTCGCCAGCAGCTCGGGTCAGGCTAAAGAGGGGAAAGTCAGCATTCCCACCACACTGGCGTCCAGCGTCCAGACCGGTTCCTGAGAGACTGCAGATTAGCCTCGAGGATTAAGCTCCCCTGCCTCCCTCCCCCACTCCACAAGCCTTGCCAAGGGAGGATCACAGAGCTGAGACCTCAGGATGCTGCAGAGCTGTCACATTCGATTCACCACACAGCCCCAGTGGCATTTAGGGGCAGGACGGCTGGGAGCCCACCCCCACCGCAAGCAGTGGGAGCAGCTAATGACTGGGTATTAAGGATGCTGGCAATTAGTGCTCCCGAGAAAATGGTTGGGGGCCACTCACCGGGGGAATGCGGAGGAAACCGAGCACACATTCGGCACAGCACGCTGATGGGGGTCCAGTGTGGTGCGGAGAATCTGGGGGAAATTGCTGTCTCTCAGATTCAGCCAGGGAAACGGGGGAAGAGGAAAAGGACGGCTTCTGTGGACATGGAAGGCCTTCCTGCCCCGCCCTACCCAGTAGTCAAATTGAGGTCGATCACAAAGGGGGCGCTGAGAGGAGAGACATTAAAAAGGTGTTTGTGAGACTTCTGGAACCTTCCTTATGAGAGGAGGCCCCAGGAGCCCAGGTAGAGTTATTCCTTTCTCTGCAGTTTCAAATCCTTGGGTAGGCGGATGACCCTTTTGAAGAACCCATTCCTCACTGGCAAGGAGGGAAGGAAGAGAAAGTTCAGAGGGGCTGGAGCGGTGTGCTCACTAACAGACCCACAGGAAGAGGAGAACAAGCATCAGGATGAGATGTGTTAGGAAGTGTCTCCATCTGGAAGGAAGGAGAGAGGAAAGACACGGCTTCCTTGCCGAACAAAGCCATCTGGCCTCAAGGTGAGGGCATGAGGAGGCAGGAGACACTGACCCCGAAGAGTGTGTGAGGAAATCCTGGGGGACAGAGGAAACCATGCAAGGACCCATCTCCGAAGTCAACAGCCTGGAGCTAAGGAGGCTGTCTCGATCCACTGAGGGCCTGCAATATACCGGAGAGGCCCAAGGAGCCTTCCCCCGCTGTGGCCATCACTGTGCACACACACACACACACACACACACACACACACACTCACACACACACAGGAGAGAGAGAGAGAGAGAGAGAGAGAGAGAGAGAGAGAGAGAGAGAGAGAGAGAGAGAGAGAGAAGAAAGCATTCCAGCCCCTTCGTGTGAGGAGAGCACCTCCACACAAGAACAAAAGCCTGGCCTTGGAGAGGAGAGGTCAAGGAAATAAGCCAGCACTGGAGGACAGAGAAATAATGATAACTTAATAAATACTTGAAAGAGAGCAACCAGGGCCAAGAAATGCTTTCCAGACAGCAACCCAATCAAAGTCACTCCCAGCCTCCTTCTGAGAGAAGACAATAGCTACACCTTGGCCACTCAGATGAGAGAAGGGATAAGAGGAGACACGTGGAAATGCAAATATTTTCCTTTCTGAATGGCAAGGGTGACTGGACCAAAGAAACCTGATCCCAGAGAGAAGGTTGGCGCTGAAGCTCCTCAGCAGCTGGTGAGGAACAGTGGGCAGAGCTGTCAGTCCCTCCTGCCCTGTTTTCCCAGCTCTGTCCATGACACCACTAGGTAACAAAACACACAAGTCTGGAACCCTGAAAGCTAGTAAGAAGGAAAGGTTTTAGGGGCCGAACTGTGAACCCCACAATTCATATGTTAAAGCCAATGTCTCAGGAAGTGATTATATTTGGAGGCAGGGCCAGTAAAGAGGTGATTCAAGAAGAAAAACTAAAAAAAAAAAAAAAAAAAAAAAAAGAAGAAGAAGAAGAAGAAGAAGAAGAAGAAGAAGAAGAAGAAGAAGAGGAAGAAGAGCTCAAATAAAACTGTTAGGAGGGCCCCAATCCAATCTGACTGGTGTCTTTATGAACACAGGAAATATGGAGGCCACCCACAGAGACAGCAGGTGCACGTGCACAGAGGGACGGCCAGGTGCGGAGGCAACAGGGAGGCAGCCATCCACAAGCCAAGGAGAGAGGCCCCGAGAAAACCCAGCCCTGCCAGCACATTGATCTGGGACTTCAGCCTTCAGAACTGTAAGAAAATAAATCTGTGTCCTTTAAGCCACCCACTCTGTTGTACTTTGTTATTGCAGCCTGAGCAAAATGACACCGAAGGCAATGCGACATGGGAAAGGTGGGGTGGGGGTTAGCTGAAGAAAAGTCTTGGCCAAGGATTGTGTAAGTTATTTCAAATATTTGGTGAAGGCAGCCAATAAACATCAATTGACTGAAATGTAGAGCAATCACTCTCAAATCCTAAATCTGAATATTTTTAAAGGTCTGTCTGATCCCTTTAATTACACTGAATTATTCACTTTAAGACCGCCTGTCAGCCAATCTTGGGGGTGGGGGTGGGGGAGTAATAGAAAACGCATGGCATGTCCAAAATTATTGTTTACCTAAAGATCTTAGAATGCCCACATCTTAAAGTAAGTCCTCAAGGTTCCATTATCCTATCCCATAAGGAATGCTAAAGAGGCAAGTCAAAAGGTGAATGCTAAGCCCTTTTTGATTCCCTAAACCATAACTGAATGTTGAGGAAAGAAAGAATAGAAATTAAAAAAACAAATCTTAGGGATCATTTGGGGTCTTCGAGCCCAGCATCCCAAATATCAACTGCACCCAGATCAAGTTTGCTGATTGAGCGCTCAGGCAAAGAGCACGGAGGCTCCAGGGCAGTATGTCTAAGGCAGGAGAACTCTGTACCAAAATTGTAGACCCTATATTTATTGCAAGACAATAAATCAAGAATCTTCTACATCTCTTGGTGGCTGAGGAGACATCTGGAGTATCTGTATGAACTGACATAGCCGAGGGATATGCTCAGGTCGGCAGTTGTGAAGGGATCGTCTGGAGCTGAGGAAGAGATGCAGCTCTGGCATCTGACAATGGCCAGGTAAGGACATTTCCCTTCTGCCTTAATACTCACCTTCCTTCCTCGGAGAGCAGAGCTTGCTGTGCCACCCCGGCCCAGTTCACTCTCAGCCTAGGACTCAGCTGACCCACAAGGGCAGCTGGGGCTGAGTTGAAAGAGCCAACCCACCACAGGACATTGAGATCAACCCACGGTCATGACCAGAAGATGCAACAGGTAATTAAAGGAATGCTCCACAGCCCTGCCCACCCACTTCATAACTGCCCCAATCCAAAAGCTGGGAACTTACGTCTGTGGTTCTCATTTCTATGGTTGGGTGGGGACCGGGTCTCCTGGTCTTGAGCTTCATCCCCCTCCTCACTGGCCAGGTGAGTGTGGGCGTAGTGGTAGCTGAGTCCTGGTCGGTTCTTGTAGCGCTTGCCACAGACTAGAGAGGGAAAGAGGAAAGAAGGAAAAACACAAATGTCAGCAACCTCTATAGCCACTGCCATCATTCTCCCAGGTGGTGACACTCATCCATCCATTCCTGAGCTGGGGTTCCTTTAGAAAAGTTTTTGCCACCCCCAATCCCTTACTCCCTGGACAGGACCAAAACCACTAATAACAACATGGGTCCGTGTAAAGCAAAACCACAGAAGTAGAAGGTGCAAGTTGGGTGAGAGCGCCATCATTTCCTAGCATTTCCTTACATTTCCTTTGTAAGACCCTAGGCAAGTCACTTACCCTCCCTGGGCCTGCTTCTTGGAAGGAAAATGGGATAGTACTTACCTCATAGGGTTGTTGGCGATGAGGTAATCTCTACGCAAAGTATTATTATAGAACATTGGTAATTTCAGATTGTTTTAACTCTGAAGGTTGGACTGGGAGTCTATCCAGTCCAACACCCCATGGCACAGATAGAGCAAGTGAGGCCCAGCAAGGCTAAGTGATTTGCCTGGGAACACACAGCTAGCTGTGGCAGAGCCACTAGAACCCAGGACTCCTGGATCCCTGTGCATTACTTCATCCACGTTCCTGCGGCTGGCTCTGCCTGAAGCAGAAATGCTTGATCTGGATAACATTCTTGATGTATCACTCAGTGATTTCATGTTCCATTTCCACCATGGAAACCATGAAGCCAAGGCATGTTTGGTAGATGTGGGGCAACCAAGAGCTTATGCCCTTGATGCCCTGGCATCCCGATAACCCAAACCTCTAATGTGTCCTTACAAGCACTACTTTTCAAATGGACACTCTGAGACAAGGGCAATAAGCAACATAAATACGTCCAAGAAGAAAGAGGGGGCAGTTCTATTGGTTAAATGTTCAGTATCTGAGAAGTCTGGCTAAATAACTTAAGAGACCAGATCACCACCCCCAACCTCACCCAACAATATCTCAGCTCTTAGAGGAATGACACTGCTGGTAGCAGAAGCCTCTGGAATCTTCTAGTAAAAATCCTATGCCAACCCTCACATCAGGTCTCCACCTTTCCCCAGCAGAGCCAATCACTGTCCCAATCCCTCCCCCCCCCCCCAGCCCGCCGATCTGCAGAAAAATCTTAAGTTGAGAGCTTTAAGAGACTCTTTACACATGACTGTGCTATAGTAGTGAGTGTGAATATTGAATAAGGTAAAAGAGTACAGAACCCATCGTCAGACCTGGGTTCAAATGCTAGTTCCAGGTGCCCAAGTTGACCAACTGGGTGACCTCCATAGCATGGAGAAGCTCTGTTTCCAGCCATCTTACCCAATTCCTTTATTATTTCTAGTAGAGTTTCTTTTCTTACTAAATTCTCTTAGTTTTTTCAGGTATTACAACCATTAGGGGGGGGGAAGCTGTCATCTCTTCTTTCTCATATTGGTACAAACTATTTTATCTTCTTAGCTTAATTAGTTTGTGAGAAGCACTAACCCGACACTTAAAAATAGCAAAAGCAAGATTTTCCTATTTTAATGCCATTGGACTTAGTGTTTCACTTATTGGCTAAGTTTTAGTCTTTATTACATTTAAGTAGTTTCTCTTAGTCCTTCTTTAGAGCTTTATTATTGAATTCTATTGACTGCTCTTTCAGCACTTACTCATATATGACTCTGATTTGTTGATAGTGAATTATGTTGATTTCCTAATGTTTCCTACTATTGAACCAAGAATGCACTCCATTTGGTCAGAGTGGATTAGCCATTTGACACACTGCAGCATTCTATTCACTAATATTGCATTTTGCACCTCCGGCTATGTTGACTTGAGGAGTTTTGCTGAGAGAAATTAGACAAGACATATAATCTCTCTGTGCCTCCTTTCTGATCTGAAAATGATGACAGTACTACTTACCATGAAGGATGGTTAAAGGATTTATAGGTCATATTTGTAAACTATCTCACTTAGTACCCAGTACATAAAAGATTCCCAATAGATGGCAGTGAGGGGTGAGAGGCGTCGGCTTGGTCTGCCATGCCATTAGTACCAAACCCTCCAGAAAGGGGGACTTGGACCCTTGCCTCACACTACAGAATGTGGCCATTGGTTTAACTTTCTTAGTAAGGTGAGGGTCTGAGATTTAAGCTGGTGACCTAGTGACTATGCATTTAAGTCCTACAATTGGCTACTTACATTATCTCCCTCTCCCTGCTGTAAATATTGCACACACAAAAAAAATTTTTTTAATGGTACTACACATCTCAATTCCATTTGCCTCAGGAAGTGGGACCTAAGAGGTCCCTGGGGCGTACTCTGGGCTTGCTTGTGGCTTTTTCTAGTTAACCTTTTAAATGTCATGAGGTCAATGAACAGCAAATTACGGGTCATTAGATATAAATCCATTTCATCACCAAGTATACTGATGGTAAGAAATAAATGTTGATTAAAATAAGAATGATAGTATCAGTATTTACATGGGGAAACCTCAGCTGCCTGCAGGTCTCCCTCTATAAACCCCTCAGCATTTAATTTCTGCCATTTTGTTATGTCAATTACCATTGTCTTCCTTAATCACAGAATTTCAGGATCTCAATACCATTTGGTCTAATTACCTATCAAATCGTTTTATTCCCATGAATACTCTAGAAGGCTGCCCTGGACCACGTCCAACAATGGGAATTCACTACCCGTCCAAGCAGGCATCTCTTCTTTGGACTCCTTGAATTAGTTATATCTGTACTAGAGGGCCTCCCTTACGGACAGTTTCACAATGATCCCATCTTGATGTCAGTAATTCCACCTCATATGTAGCCATGCACACATTACACCTTCAAAACATATCCACTGAATAGCTGATGAATGAACACAGAAACACTTTGTAGAAAAGCCTAGAGTGGGGAGAGGGTAAGTGTGTAGAATCTGATGTAACTATCCACACTAATCTCATACCAAATAGTCCTTGAAACCTGCAAAACCAAAATGAAGCCAAAAGATTCCCATATCTCCTTCCCCAGCACCACGGAGAGTAAGGACGTTCAGAGCAAAGCCTTTTGCTAGGAGAGAGAGTCTCAGAGTGGTCCCCACACCAGCACCATCAGCACCACCTGGGAACTTGTAAGAAATGCAAATTCGTGAGCTCCATCCCAGAGTTTCTGACTCAGAGTCTTGGGGTGGAGCCTGGTGGTCTGTGTTTTAACCAGCCCACCAGGCGATGCATGCTAACGTTTGAAAAACACTCTGCTAGAAGGTTGGTATATTTAGGCTTGACTCTGCCTGCCCTGGATGGCAGTGGCAGGCGAGGACAGTGAGAGGCTGCCCTGAGACCTGTGGTCACTATTAGAAGAAAAGATTTAGGCAGCACAACAAGGTCCTGGAAGCCATACCCCTTTCCCATGGCCCCTATATATAGGCTCTCCAGATGGAGTTTCATTTTCCCCTCACCTGCTTCTACCATCTCATTTAAAAAAAAAAAAAAAAACACTATTAACCATCTAACATGGAGGGCCAGGCATGTGGTACCAGAAAAAAAAGAATTAAATGAATTCCACTCCCCTCCTTCAAGCAGCTCAAAGTCTAGCAGAGCAAGCCTACAAGCCAGGAAAGCAGGCAGGCGGGATAAATGCACCGGAGGGAATCGCACCCTGCCAAGAGGGCCAGCACCTGGGCCTGAGGGGTGGGGGTGGCTTCCAGAGGGGGTGGGATGCGCTACGGCCGAGAGAGGAGCAGGATATCACCAGGCAGACAAAGCACAGCACCTGTTTTCAACCTGATTGCCTTTTCCAGTCAAATCTCTCAGATTGCTTTCACCCGTGCAGAGTATATAATCCAATGTGGCAAAGTCTTCAGTAACCTGCGGGCACTGTGATGCGTGGGAACACCATCTTCTTCACCCAATTCCGCCCTCAGTGATCGGGAGGTTCCTATTCCATCTGTGGATGTCTCTGCACTGTCTATCCTCCACTTTCCTGAAATGTTCTGATCAATTACAAGTTTTCTGAAAACTACTCCCGCGATGGGCGACCGACACACAGACAGCACAGACGTGGCACCTGCTCGGCCATCTTCCCTCGCAAACACCAAGGACCCACTGAGGGACCCTATTTTAATTTTCTACATGTGAAACAATGTGGGCTTCAGGAGGAAAGAGGGTTTGAAGAGAGAGAATCTGGCAGAAAGGAATTTGTTTAAACAGCAAGGAGATGCCTAGAGAGACTAACACAGCCTTCCTCCCCTGCCTCATCCACCTCCCAGCCCCACCCACCTCCTCAGCCTCTTCCCATCTCCCTGCCTCATCCGATGCCACATTTCACCTCCTTCTCAGCCCTCCCCTCCCACTCACTGGCCTTTCCATTTCTTGAATATTTTTATTTCCAGCACAGAGCACTGGCACAAGCTTTTTCCTCTGCCTAAACTGTCTCCCACCCCCCAAGTTGCCTGGTTGATGCTTTCTTATCCTTCAGATCTTGGTTCAAATGCCCTTCCCCTGGGAAGGCTTTCCAATCAAAATTAGGATGCCGGTTTGTTACCTTCCCAGAACTAATCATGTACCCATGTGTGTCCCTCCCGCCGGCTGGGAGCATGGCAGCCCCTGTATGTTTGCACACTGTCTGACATTCCCAGGGAGCTGCACAGAGCCTGATTCATGGCCAGCACTCAATATCAGCTAAAGGGAGAAATAGAAACACCCATGTTTCTGACTCGGGCAACGTGGTAAGAGAATGCAGGAAGAGAATGAGTTCGGTCTGGGGCTGGCTTATATACCCGGAGCTTGGGAGAGAGTTATGGATTTTGGAGTTAACAGGGTGGTGAAATAAGTGATGGACATGGAGAGGAGAGATGATGGTGGAAGAGGTGAAAGGTGTGAACACAGGATAGATCTCAGAAAACTGTAGTTTTGTAAGAGTTGGGTAGAAAAAGAAAAACTGGTGTCTACATAACAAGGTAGTTAAGAAAGACTCATACAGCCGTCAGCTGCACAGAGGAGCAGGCTTTCCAGAGGACAATAGCCGTACCACCAATCCTGGCTAA